GCAGCTAGCTAGCTGTGTGTAGCTAGCTAGCTGTAGGGGTTCTGGGCCTCTTTGCTTTTCAGGAGGGCGAGGGGGAAATGCCGCTGAGTTTGACGGACTTATTGACAAGTGTAAGAAGCTCTGCGGGCTTAGGGTTTAGGGTTTAGGGTTTAGGGTTTAGGGTTTGGGCAAGGGTTTAAGCTAGGGTTGGGCCAAACCCTTGAGCTTTAAGGCGTTTAGGGCTAGGGGCCTGGACTAGGGTTTAGGGTTTGGAGTTTCCGTTTATCGTGTAGGGCGTGGGCGAGGGTTTAGGGTTTGGGCTCGAGGCTTGGCCTAGGGTTTAGGGTTTAGGGTTTAGAGCTAGGGTTTAGGGTTTAGGGTTTAGAGCTAGGGTTTAGGGTTTAAACCCTAAACCCTCTTTCCTTTTGCCTGCGCCCCGCAGTCTTCTCCAGGATTTAAAAAGCTGCTGCAGAAGATAACAGAACAGACTCAGCTTTCTCCAGGGGCCCCCAAAGAGCCCCAAGAGGGGCCCCCCGGGGGGGCCCCCGGGGGGGACCCCGGGGGGGCCCCCCAGGGGCCCCCGGGGGCCCCCGAGGAGGAGGGCAGCAGCAAGGGGGCCCCCTCTGCGGAGAGAAGTGCAGCAGAGAAGGAGGCGAAGAAGACGAATTCAAAAAGAGAATCGACGCACGCCAGCAGCAGCAGCAGCAGCAGCAGCAGCAGCAGCAGCAGCAGCAGCAGCAGCGGACGCAAGAGTCAGGAAGGCTCAGCAAAACCCAAAAAGAAAGATGAAAGAGGCTTTCCACAGGGTGAGGCAGCACTACTGAAGAAGAGGGGGGCCCCCAGCTGGGGGCCCCCCTCCAGTTTGGGGGCCCCCGCTTGGGGGCCCCCCTAAGTGGGGGCCCCCAGCTTGGGGCCCCCCTGTACCCCCTAGCAGCTATTGTGCAGCGCAGCAGCAGGTGGTGTGGCTTTGCAGCAGCTGCAGCAAAAGCATAGCAGCAGCAGCAGCAGCAGCAGCAGTAGCAACAGCGGCAAGCGGAACGGCCGTTTCTTTTGGTGCTGGTGGCTATTATCTGCTGCTGCTGCTGCTGCTGCTGCTGCTGCTGCTGCTGCTGCTGCTTGTGAATTCAGGGCCTCTCCAAGCAGTCCTCATCATGGGCCCTGACGGCCGCATTCTTAACTTCGAGGGGATGGAGCCTCCTTCCCCAGAAGGTGTGCAGGGTTGCTGCTGCTGCTGCTGTTGCTGCTGCTGCTGCTGCTGCTGCTGCTGCCCCTGTTGCTTCTGCTGCTGCTGCTGCTGTTGCTGCTGGTACTGCACGGGGCTTTGTCTCTTTGCATTCGTTTTGAAAGTCCCTCCAGGCTTTCCCCACTTCAGCCACTGCTGCTGCCACTGCTGCTGCTGCTGCCACTGCCGCTGCTGCTGCTGCTGCCACTGCTGCTGCTGCTGCTGCTGCTGCTGCTGCTGCGCATTTGAACAGAGCTTTCGCAAATCCCCGAGGCCTTCTCAATGCTTGCGAAGCAAATGGGAGTTCCCTTCAGCCAAGAGGCTGCAGAGAACATTCGGGAGACTTTAACAAAACTAACAGCGCAGCTCCCCAAGGGGGCCCCCAAGGGGGCCCCCCCCAAGGGGGGCCCCCCGAAGGGGGCCCCCCCCAAGGGGGCCCCCCAGGGGGCCCCCCAGGGGGCCCCCCAGGGGGCCCCCAAGGTGAACCCCCAAGGCAAAGAAAACCCTCGCAAGGCCAAAGCTGCCCCGCAGATGAAAAGCCCGAAGGAGTCTGAAGAGCTGGATGACCCTTGGGACGAAGGCTGGGCGGCCGCGGCGGACAGCAGCAGCAGCAGCAAGAGCAGCAGCAGCAGCAGCAAGAGCAGCAGCAGCAAGAGCAGCAGCAGCAAGAGCAGCAGCAGCTCGCCAGCAAGCGACCCCGAGACCTTCTTCAAGGGGGCCTTCAAGTTCATTGCAGAAGCAGATCCTGCTGCTATGGGAATGTTAATGCGCGCAGCAGAACAGCTGGCGGGCCGGAGGGGCCCCCTGGGGGCCCCCCCCCCCTCAGCCCTGGCGGACTTTCTGAAGTCTTTGTCTGAGGGGCCCCCGGGGGCCCCCCAGGGGGCCCCCGGGGGGCGCTCAGGGGGGCCCCCGAAGGGGCCCCCGGAGGGGGGCCCCGGGGGCCCCCGAGATGAGAAAGGAGACCGAGATGAGCTTTAGGGGCCGCCGCCAACGGCCTTGCTGCTGCTGCTGCTGCTGCTGCAGCAGCCTGTACAGAAAAAGCTAATTCAGCAGCGAAAGCAGCAACAGAGCGCTGCTGCTGCAGCGGCAGCATCGGCTTTTGTGAAGTTACTGTTAATGCCGTTGCTGCTGCCACAACAGCCGCAGCAAGCAGTTTTTTGCTGCTGCGTTTGCTGCAGCAGCAGGAGCTGCTGCTGCTGCAGCAACAGGAGCAGTGTCTGCTTTTTGCTGCTGCGTTTGCTGCAGCAGCAGGAGCTGCTGCTGCTGCAGCAACAGGAGCAGTGTCTGCTTAAAGACTAGTTCGGGCCCCGGCTGCAGCAATCCTCTAAAGCAGCTTAAGTGCTGCAGCGCAGCACTTTCGTGCTGCTGCTTAGCCCACAAAACTTCCTAATATCTGTACCCTCTGGAGACCGCAGCAGCAGCAGCAGCAGCAGCAGCAGCAGCAGCTTGTTTCTGAAGAGGCACTGGGCCCCTTTTAGCCAGCTTAGAAACCCAAAGGGGTTCCCCCAGCTACACCCGGCAGCAGCAGCAGCAGCAGCAGCAGCAGCAGCAGCAGCACGCAGGAGCTACTGAAGTAGCCCCTACTTGTAGCTTTTCAGCCGTTTTCTGCCTCAAGGGGCCCCTAGACCCACTTGGGGGCCCCTAGACCCACTTGGGGGCCCCTGGGGCTGCCTAGGGGCCCCTAGAGCTGGCTAGTGGCTTCTGTACTTGCCCAGGGGCCCCTAGGGCTGCTTGGGGGCCCCTAGAGTTGCTGGGGGGCCCCCAAGGGCCCCTAGGGGCCCCCAAGGCTGCTTAGGGGCCCCTAGAACTGCTGAGGGGCCCTAATGGTCGCTAAGGGGCCCCTAGAGCTGCCTGGGGGCCCCTAGGGCTGCTTAGGGCCCATTTATTAATCCAGGGGCCCCCAGAGTCGCAAGGGGCCTCTAAGACTACCTAGAGGCCCCCCAAGACTGCCTAGGGGCCCCCCTAGGCTACCTGGGGGCCCCTAGGACTGTCTAGAGTCCCCTAAAGCTGTCTTAGAGACCCCTAAGACTGCCTAGAAGCCCCCTAAAGCTACCTAGGGGCCCCCTCAGGCTACTTAGGGGCCCCCCAAGGCTGCCTAGGGGCCCCTCGGGCTACCTAGGGGCCCCTTAGGGCTACCTAGGGGCCCCTAAGACTTCTCAGGGGCCCCTAAGACTTCCTAAGGGCCCCCTAAGGCAACGTAGGACTATCTAGGGGCCCCGTAAGACTGCGTAGAGGCCCCCTAAGACTGCGTGGGGGCCCCCTAAGACTACCTAGGGGCCCCCTAAGGTTAGCTTGGGGCCCCCTAAGGACCCCCTAAGGCTACCTATGGGCCCCCCGAGGCCCGCTAGGGGCCCCTTAAGACTAACTAGGGGCCCCGTGAGGCTAGCTAGGGGCCCCCTAGGACTACGTAGGGGCCCCCTGAGGCTCGGTAGGGGCCCCCTAGGACTACCTAGGGGCCCCCTAAGGCTAGCTTTGGGCCCCTAGGGGCCCCCTGAGACTCGGTGGGGGCCCCCGGAGCTGGAGGGGCCCCCCGTTGGGGGAAAGAGAGTTTCAAACTGTTGAGTTGGGATTTAAACCCACAGCGAGGCGAAGGCCCACTGTGGGGCACGGCTACAAATGGGGGCCCCCGGGGGCCTCCCAGAGACAAGACGGGGCCCCCTGGGGGCCCCCCAGACAAGACAAATGGACATAAAAGCGGACAAAGAAGCCAAGAAAGCCCCACGCGCTGCATGCAGCGGTGCATGCATGCACGCGGCTGCGCATGCATGCAGCAGCGCATGCATGCAGCAGCGCATGCATGCAGCAGCGCATGCATGCAGCAGCGCATGCATGCATGCAGCAGCGCATGCATGCGCTCGCCCTCCCGCACGCACCTGCGCATGCATGCATGCATGCACGCATGCAACTGCGCACGCGTGCATGCATGCATGCATGCATGCATGCACGCACGCACGCATGCATGCATGCATGCATGCATGCATGCATGCATGCATGCACAATTGGGGCTTTCTTCGCACGAAAACGCATGCAACTCTCTGCATGCGTCCCTAGCCGCATGCAAACGACGGGGCTGCACACAAAGGCGGCCGGAGTTTCAATTGCCCCCAACTGGAGACTCAGGGAGCCGCAGCAGATGTCAAAAAAGCAGCAGCTGCTGCTCTTGCTGCAGCTGCTGCTTCTGCTGCAGCTGCTGCTCTGCTGCAGCTGCTGCTCTTGCTGCAGCTGCTGCTCGTGCTGCAGCTGCTTCTGCAGCAAAGTACAACTGTTCTCTCTTACACGCACACAGTTTCCTTCACCTTTTCGCTCGTCGTCTCTGCTGCTGCACCGCCAGCAGCAGCAGCAGCAGCAGCAGCAGCAGCAGTTCCTGCTGCTGCTCCCCCAGCCTCCTGCAGGCTCGGGGCCCCCAGCTCTCCGTCTCTGCCCTCCTGCTGCTGCGGGCCTCCTGCGGGTTGCGAAGCCCCCTTGGGGGCCCCTGGGGGGGGCCCCCCTACGGGGGCCCCCTTGGGGGCCCCTGGGGGGGCCCCCGGGCCAGGGGCCCCCTTGGGGGCCCCCTCTGCCCTTTCCTGCGACAGCAAAGTGGGCAGGGGGCAAGAAAGAGAAGGCGGAGGAGCTGTAGCAGCATTTAGGAGATGTCGAAGTCTTTTGTAGTTGGGTTCAGGAGAAGCAGCAAAGGCAGGAGCAGCAGCAGCAGCAGCAGCAGCAGCAGCAGCAGCAGCCCCGGCCTGCTGCCTGCAGCGCTTGGCGCAGCCGCCGGGGGCCCCCAGGGGGCCCCCCTCCGCCGGGGGGGCCCCCCTCCCCCGCTGCTGCAGGGGGCCCCCCGGGTCGTCCCAAAGAGCAGCAGCAGCAGCAGCAGCAGCAGCAAGGGGCTGCGTGGGAGCTGCGCAGTTTTCGTCGGTTTCCTGCAGACTAGCAGCAGCAGCAGCAACAGCAGCTTTGATGGAGTCCACCAGGGGGGCCCCCACTGGAAAGAAACCCCCCTTTGCTTCTTGTTCTTCCAAACAAGATCTGATGGATCTGGAGAGGACACATTCCAGGGTTTCGTGGATGGAGGGGCTTCCCTGCTGCAGGGCCTCCTCCGCGCTGCAGCAGCTGCTGCTGCTGCTGCTGCTGCTGCTGCTGCTGCTGCAGGGGGGCCCCTTCAGGGGGCCCCCCTCCTTGGGGGCCCCCCCTGCGGCGGGGGCCCCCAGCGCTGCAGCGGGGCTCCTGGGCGCCGCAGCAGCTTTGTGTTTGCTGCTTCTGTGGAGCTGCTGCGCGGGCGCCGCTGCTGCGCCGGCCGCAGCAGCAGCAGCAGCAGCAGCAGCAGCAGCAGCAGCAGCAGCAGCAGAGCGCTCGCTGTCGCGCTCCGCCAGCAAGTTTTCTTTAAATCTTAAAGCACTTTGCTGCGCCTCTTCAACACTTTTGAAGTTTTTTATGTAAAATGATTTACTGTGTTTGGACCCATCGCTGGTTTTCCACTGCGCCATGAAGCGGTTTTGGCTGCGGTCAAAAGTTATGCTGCCGGAGACCACCCGCAGCCGCTGCTGCTGCTGCTGCTGCTGCTGCTGCTGCTGCTGCTGCTGGTGCTGCTGGCAGCAGCAGCGGCGGCGCGGCCCAGGCGGCGCAGCTCCGCGGCGGCTGCTGCTGCTGCTGCTGCTGCAGCAAACGAACGGCTCTCCGCCTCAACTCCCGGAGAACTCCGCCGCCGCGAACTGGACCCTCGGGGGGCCCCCCGGGGGCCCCTCGAGTTTGCTGCTGCGGGCCAGGGGCGCCCGGGGGGCCCCCCCTCTGCGCGGGGGCCCCCTGCCCTCTTGGCCTTGGGCTTTCGGGGGGCCCCCCCGGCCTGCGCCGCGCCCCCGCTGCTGCTGCTGCTGCTGCTGCTGCTGCTGCACTTGATGTCCTGCAGCAGCGACAGGGCCCTCAGGGCCTCCTCGCCCAGCAAGCTGCTGGGGGGGGCCCCCCGCAGCTCTGCTGCGGGGGACAGCAGCGCCTGGGGGGCCCCCAGGGGGGCCCCCAGGAGCCCCGCGAGGGGCCCCTGGCGCGGCAGCAGCGGCTGCTGCAGCGCAGCAAGGGCCTCCTTGGGGCCCTGGCAGACCTCGAGGCCGGCCAGGAAGCTTTGGATCTCTGCTGCTGCTGCTGCTGCTGCGTTGGGGGCCGCTGCTGCTGCTGCTGCTGCTGCTGCAGTCGCTGCCGCCGCCCCGCCCGCCGCTGCTGCTGCTGCTGCTGCTGCTGCTGCTGCTGCTGCGGGCTCGCCCAGGGCCTCCTCCCCCCCCTCCTGCAGCAGCTTCTTAAACCCCAAAGCCTGCTGCCTTGCTGCTTCCCGCCCCCCGTATTTGCTGCAGCTGAAGCTTTTGCTGTGGCTGCGGCCTTGGGATCGCCAAAAAGCGATCCAGCGGTTGTGAGTGGCATCGAACGAGACATTGGGGCAGTCTGCGGGGGCCAGGGGGCCCCCCAGGGGGCCCCCCAGGGGGGCCCCCGGGGGGGCCCCCAGCAGGCCCACCGGGGGGCCCCCCGAGGCCCCCGACTCCATGCAGGGCCCCTGGGCCTCCGCGGGGGGCAGCGGAGGGTCCAGGGGGCCCCACAAAGTGCTGCTGCAGCCCAGGGGCCCCAGAGGCAGCTGCTGCTGCGGGGCCCCCAGCTCGGCTTTTCGCAGCAGCAAAGGGGCCTCTGCGAGGGCTGGGAGGGGGGCGGGGGGCCCCTTCTTCGTCCCGCTGCTGCTCTGCTGCTGCTGCTGCTGCAGCGGCGAGGCGGCCACGCCAGCTGCTGCTGCTGCTGCTGCTGCTGCAGCAGCAGAGGGGCCCCCGTCGCCCAGCCCCGAACCCCCAAGGGCCTTCAGCACTGCTGAAGCTGCCCCAAGGGGGCCCCCCTTCTCCCCCCCCACTCCGAACTGCGCGGGGCGGGAGGCCCCCAGGGGGGCCCCCAGGGGGGCCCCCAGAGGGGCCCCCAGGGGGGCCCCCAGGGGGGGCCCCCCCTTTGCTGCAGGCGGCAGGGGGCAGCCGCAAACGGAGTCCAGGGGGGCCCCCTGGGGGCCCCTCACGTCGAAACCCTCGAGACCCAGGGGGGGCCCCTCAGCCTCGGGGGCCCCCTCTAGGGAGCGGATAGTGGGGCTGCACAAAAGGGAGGGTACAGGAGTGGTTGTGACGGAAGCTGCTGCTGCTGCTGCTGCTGCTGCTGCTGCAGCGTCTGTTGCTGCTGCTGCTGCTGCGCCGCGGCAGTCGTCGCCGAAGCGCCTGCTGCGCAGTCCGCCGGCCGCCGCTGCTGCTGCTGCTGCTGCTGCTGCTGCGGACCCGTCGAGCGCTGCTGCTGAGTCTGCAGCAGCAGCAGCAGCAGCAGCAAAGGCGCTTTTGCGGGGCAGCACTTCTTTGGGGTTTGCTGCTTCGTACAGCAGCTGCAGCGCAGCAACAGCGTCCTCAATGGCCTGCTGGGGGGCCCCCCGCAGCAGCGCGAGGGGCCTCTCCTCAGGCAGCAGCAGGGCCCCCTCTGCTGCTGCTGCCAGCAGCAGCGCGGGGGCTGCATGCACTGCATGCAGCAGCAACTTTCCCAGAATAACGTGGGAGTAAATGAACAGCTGCTGGGGCCCCTGGGCCCCCAAAATCATACCCTGGTGGTAAGTGTAGAGGGGGGGGCCCCCCGGGCCCTGGGGGGGGGCCCCCCTGCTGCTGCTGAGGGTACAGAGGGCCTCCAGCAGCCTGCAGCAGATTAGCTGCTGCGCAGCAAAGCCCTCGGGAGGGTACCGGAAGAGGCCCCCGCGAATTGCTGCTTCTGGCGACGCCAGGGGGCTCCCGCACGTGCTGCTGCTGCTGCTGCTGCTGCTGCTGCTGCTGCACTTGCTGCTGCTGCTGCTCGCGAGGGGCGCGCAGCTCTCCAGCGGGTCGCGCGCCGGCAGCGGCCCCCGGCAGCCTTTGCTGCTGTTGCTGCTGCTGCTGCTGCTGCTGCTGCTGCAGCTCTCCGCTGCAGGCGCGCCAGGGGCGCCCTGCGGCGCCGCTGCTGCTGCTGCTGCTGCTGCTGCTGCTGCTGCTGCTGGCTTCACGCAGACCACGTCCAGGGCCCGCAGCAGCGCCTTGCACTTCGCAGGAGTCAGGGGGCCCCCCCCACAAACTGCCGGGAGGGCCCCCTGGAAAGCAGCAATATAGGGCCCCAAGTCTGCGAGAGTTTGGGCCCTTTTGATGCGGTCTATGTGTGCTGCTACGGAAGCAGCAGCAGCAGCAGCAGCAGCAGCAGCAGCAGCAGCAGCAGCGGGCTCGCCGCCGCTGCTGCTGCTGCAGCCCAGGCCCAGGCCGCCCATCAACTCCACCAGCACCGCCTGCGTCGCCGCGAGGGCCCCCCCCTCTGCGGGGCCCCCCGGCGCTGCTGCTGCTGCTGCTGCTGCTGCTGCAGCGAGGACGCGCGGCGGCGAGGCTGCTGCTGCTGCTGCTGCTGCTGCTTCTGCTGCCAGCGGGGTTGTTGCTGCTGTCGAGGCCCCCGCCAACGCTGTCGGAGAATTCAAAGCAGCAAGGGCCAAAGCTGTGTCCTTCTCAAGGGCCCCCTGCATGCGCGGGGGGCCCCCCGGGGGGCCCCCCGGGGGGCCCCCCGGGGGGCCCCCCCCCCCTATGGGGAGGGCCTCGGGGGCCCCCCTTCCTGGCAGCGGGGGAGAAGTGCATGCGGGGGGCAGGGCCTCTTCTGCTGCTGCGGGGGGCCCCCGGGGGGCCCCGGGGGGCCCCCCCCGCTGCGCCCCGAGGGGGGGGCCCCCCGTGCTGCTGCTGGGGCCCTTCAGCTCCTGCTGCGCTGCTGTGGGGCCCCACAGCAGCCGGGACAGAGAAGCAGCCTCGAGGGCCCCCAGGGGGCCCCCCGCGGCGTGGGGCTGCCCGGGGGCCCCCTCTGCAGGGCTGGGGGGCCCCTTGGCTGCCCCGGGGGCCCCCAGGGGCCCCTCCAGGGGCCCCTCCAGGGGCCCCTCGAGGGGCCCCTCCAGGGGCCCCTCCAGGGGGCCCCCCAGGTCCTCTGTAAGAGAAGCAGAAACTGCAATAGGGGGGGGGGCGGGGGGCCCCTCGGGGCCCTTGAGGGCCTGTCTCCAGAAGCCCTCTAGCAGGTGGGGAGCCAGGGGGCCCTGCGTGCTGCTGCTGCTGCTGCTGCAGCCGCTGCTGCAGCCGCTGCTGCAGCTGCTGCTGGCGCCTGCTGCAGCAGCCGCTGCTGCTGCTGCTGCGGCCTGACGGAGATCTGCATGCGAAGCCATGGCCACTCAACCAGCTGCTGCAGGACGGGGGGACAAATGCTGCAGCAAAGGACACCGCAGGCAGCGCAGCAGCAGCATGCAGCAGCAGGCAGCAGCAAGCAGCAGCAGGCAGCAGCAAGCAGCAGCAGGCAGCAGCAAGCAGCAGCGCGCAGCCCCGGTCGCGGCAGCAGCAGCAGCCGCAGCCCGCGGGCGGCGCGCGGCAGCAGCAGCAGCAGCAGCAGCAGCAGCAGCAGCAGCAGCAGCAGCAGACAGCAGCGCCGGGGCCCCCAGGGCCACTAAGGGGGCCCCCAGGACCCAAAACCCCAGGGGGGCCCCCCGGGGCCAAACCCTAGCAGCTTACAGCGAGGGTTTGGGGGGGAAGGGGGGCCCCTCTGCCTTGAGAGGAGAGAAGAAGGGCCCCTGTGGCCCAGCCATGAACAGGGGGGCCTGCAGGGGCTGCTGGCGCGGGTCTGCTGCTGCTGCTGCTGCTGCTGCTGCTGCTGCTGCTGCTGCTGCTGCGTGCGCTGGGCCGCGCGGGGCTGCGCGGGCACGGCGACAGCCTAAAGCTGCAGCCAATTCAAAAGGCGAATATTTTGGAGACGAAGTTGGGGGGGAAGGAGACTGGGGGGGCGGCA